ACACTAGAGAAATACATACAATCAAGAAATACATACATACACAATGACCACTGTCTCTACACCATCTCCTTAAAGGAGTAGTGACAGCAGACGCATCTGTGCCAGTCCATTCTATTTCAGCTTTGGCTAAGGAGCCATTTTTGCAAAATCTAGGCAAAGCATCAGGATAAATAACTATTCTTTCCAAATTTGATGGTTTCCTCGCTGTAAAATGAGGAGATTGAAATAGATGAGTTATAAATTCTTCTGTATTTTTTTAAATAATGAATTTACTCCCAGACCATAAGTTTTTTGTTTTTGTTTTTTTTTGTTCCTCTGAGATATCTTTTTCTTCTGTGCAACCTCCTCCTCTGTTTTAGGAACAGTCTGCACTTTTCCAATAAGGATCATCTCATTGTGGCAGGGAGAGCTCATGTTTGGGTTAATCCGCCCATGAGCTCTGTAAGTTCTGCACTGCATCTTGGGAGCTTTGTTCACTTGGATATGCTTAATGACCAGGGAATCTACATCTAAACCTTTAAGCTTGGTGTTGATTTCTGCGTTTTTAAGTACGTGCAGCAAAAATTCAGCACTCTTTTTAGGCCACTGACCTTGCGTCCAGCCTCATTCTTTGGCCTGGGCACACCTACCAACTCCACCATTTTAATGACAGAATGGCACACACTGCTTGTGTAAAGTGACATCCTTCACTTGTTTGGCGGTTTTTTGAATATGCATACCCTTGATGGCATGGGCAGGTTCACAAGTGTGCTTAACGTGAACACAAAGGTTTAAACCTCTGGACTTCCATGATTTTGTGGGGTTTTCTGACTCAAGTGAATAATGAACCATTTACCGAGGTCACCTCTGGCTGCTTAGAGAAAGTTCCTCTAGTGCTAAAATTCTATTTTAAAAATCACCAGACTCATATTTACCTTGAGCTTCCTTTTGAAGCCTCCTTACGGTGACAAATCTGTTTTGGGAGAAACAACATCATGATTATTCATCACAATGACCACTGTCTCTAAAGCTTTGATTCCTTCCCTTTTAAGTGAGATGATAACTCTTTTGAGGACAGAAACTCTGCCTAGTCCTTTGACTCTTCCATAGTCTTAACTTAGGACCTTGCATGCAGTTGGCAATGCATTTTATTGGCTGTTTCAGATAACATTCAGCAGATAATTCCCAATAAAAACTCTTAGAAGTAGAAAAGAAAATGAAAGTATCTACCAGAAACCTACACAGCAGCTTTGTTTTAGGTCAAGGACAAGAGTAGGATGCCGGTTGAGGAGATCCTAATCAATTTAATAAGAAAAAATGAAGTACTGGAAGGAAAGAGACAAAACATATTTGCACATGAGATGATGCACAACCTAAAAAGCCCAAGAGCCATAGATTAAACTATTTAAAAATATATATTGTTATTGGTTTCAGGTAGGGAGAGGGAGAGATAGAAATATCCATGATGAGAGAGAATCATGGATCAGCTGCCTCTTGCACACCCCCTACTGGGGATCAAGCCCACAACCGGGCATGTGCTCTTGATGGGAATCGAACCCAGGACCCTTCAGTCCGCAGGCCAACACTCTATCAACTGAGCCAAAGTAGTTAGGGGGAGATTAAACTTTTATTGGCAGTAATACAATTCAGTAAGATGGCTAAATCCAAAATCAAGAGATCAACATGCAGCTATAGCTGGTTTGCTTAGTGGATAGAGTATCAGCCTGCAGACTGAAGGGTCCCCGGTTCGATGCCTGGGTTATAGGTTCCATCCCCAGTGTGGAGTGCTCAGGAGACAGCCAATCAATGATTCTCATCATT